GAAGAAAGGAATCTGAAAAAATGCTAATGCTAATAATAACCCTATGGAAACATTGCAAATGATACTTATTTTCCTGCAAAATGAGAGAATGGGTGTGCAAGCATTTTGTAAACTGAAAAACAATGGTGTCTATGAATGCTCTTACACACCCATAACCATTGGCATCCTTTAGACTAAAAGGAGTTAGCTGGTGTGACATTGCACAGAACAGGAGCTGACAACTTTTCAAAAGTAGGTAGGGTAGTCCAGTTTGACTCAAGTTCACCTGTCACTCTGTGGGGACAAAGGAGGACTGTGGAAGGGGGAAAAAGGAAATTCAAAGGGTGACCACACTGATTCTACACCCGGAGGCCTGTCTAAACACTGCCCTTTGCAAATCAAGGTGGGATAACTAAAATGTGCCAATGAGCAAAGATGGCGAAAGGTAAAAATCAGACATTAACCATTTTTCGAAAAGTAAAGGAGGAACACGGCAGGGATTTGACCTGGCTGCAAGCTGAAAACTGGCGTGCATACCTCCATGTGCCCTCGTCCTGACACCCTGAGATGCAATGCCCTCGGGACATCTGTTATTGCTGAATCTGCAATGAGGATCCTCAGCCTTTCGCTCTTGTGTCTGCGCAGAATCCTCTGCTCCCATGCTACAGGCACGTTCATGTACAGTCTTAAAATGCCTTCACCTCAAAAGAGCATGGTAACAAGCCAAGTGCCTAGCCATGCACACTTCCGAGCTCATTTCCAGGACCAGCTTTTGAACAGCGCGAAGTAGAGGGGGCTGTGTTACACGTAGCCTCTAACAACTGCTTTCGGTCCAGGTGTTCCCCAGGCTCATGGTATATCTTTTTTTTGCTGCCCTTCCTAATGCATCTAAGAAATCAAGAGCCTGGGGAGAAGGAAATGGTCATTTGCCTTCTGACTCTGTAGTGGGGTATAGGGGTTCAGACTATGTCGCCCCCAAAATGTCTTCATAGAAGGTCCAGGATCTTATTCCTCTGACCGTTCAAATTCCAAGATCTATTTCTCAAGAAAAACAAGGAATAAATTAGATATACTCGATATGCTTTAAGAGCTAGAAGGTCTTACAAACCACATGCACTAACCATCCTAGTACGCAGATGAAAAGGCCAAGGGCCCCCCGCTAACTTAGCATCTTGCTTAGGATCACAGGCTGCGGTCAAGCCGAGGCGATTACCCCCACCTCTGGCTTCCAGTCCAGCTCTGATGCATATCATTTAGTCCCACTGAACTCCTAACAGGAAGCAGCGGTGTCTCCGGCAAAGAGCCTGCATTCATTCTTTCGACATTTACTGAGCTCCTGTGATAATGCTCATACTGTATAAGCACTGGGAATAAAATGATGAAAACGGTAGACACGGTGCTTCCTCTTGCAATGCCTGGCTAGTGGGAGAGACCAGTAGGCAAATAAATAAACGAAATAATCACTTCGCACAATCAAGGTTGAGCAGGACATAGAAAAATGAAGGGCTGACTTCAGGTAGATTGGTCCGAAAAAGCCTCGCCGAGGAGGTGACCCCAAGGCTCAAGGACGAGAAAGAGGTGCCCATGTGAAGAGCTTGGAGAAAGCACATTTCAGGTCCAGTGACTGGTCAGTGCAAAGGCCCACGGCGGGAAAGGGCACTTGGCATTCCAGAATCTTCCAGCACGTGAGTATGACAGAAGCCTAGTGAACAAGGGCAGAATGGCCGCACATGACTTAACACAGGAGCCAGATTCTGCACGACTTTGCACGTCACGAAATGCGGTAAGGACTTTATCCTAAGTGTAAAGGCCACTCAGGAAGAGGTTTTAGGTGGAGAGTTCATGGTTGGTCTGGCTATTCTGTGAAAAACAGAATCTCTGACGGTCCTTCTCAACAGGCTCAGCGTGTCATTTTCCTCGTATTTCTCTTCGCGCCGAGGGTGCAGAAGACACACAGAAACATGAGAAAAAATCTAGGAAAAGAATGAGCAGCCAGGGCCCTTTCTTCCATGGAGGGAAGTATCCCACTAAAAGAGCAGGGTGTTTGGTCTGAACATTCCTTTACCGCCCACAGTTCTAAGAGTGTTCGCTCTCAGGCTCTCGCCTTAGAAAGATGAATGAGGAAGAAGAAAGGGAAAATGGAAGAAGACAAGACAGGAGGGTTAGCAATCCCTTTATAGCTAATACGGTCCCCCTCATCATGGAATACGTTACGTTTATAGGTTATTTTAGGGAGTGATGGTCAAATGCAAGTGAGCAGTGCACGAAGAGAAAACGTCCTAAGAATTACCCTGTGCAGCAGCTCCACGTCCGCCTAGCCCAGGACTCTTACTTTTTTCAGCAATAACCAGGGATGCTTTGTAAGAAGGTGAGATTACCATCATAAAAGTCAAACACTGAGGCCAGTGTTAGGCATCCCTGTATCCACAGAGCCACATGTACTTAACTGCTACCAGGTAGAAATGTGACCCACTGGGCTTACGTATTTATTTGCACCGTGTATGCATGCCCTAATGTGGACAAGACCTATGTCAGGGACAAACCTGGACCTACAGTTGTGTCCCTAAGTGCCAGGCCACGCCTCTCCAAATTGATGCATTTTGCTTCTTCGCTGCTGTTCTCCGAGTTTTCTCTCTTTAAGCACTGAGCGGCCTCTAGTCCCCCGTTCCAACATCCATAGCTGTTTGTGCCAGCTGTTACTTCAGTTTCTTTCCTCCTCCCTCCGAACAGGAAATGGATGTGTTCTATCTGGATTGGTTTCTGATTTTTCTCCTCGCAAAGGTTTTGGCACCAGGCTCCTCCACCTTGATGCTGCCTCACTCACTGCGTGATGGACATTGGGCCTGAGAGCCACCAGGGCAGGGCCGTGCCAAGAGCATCTGTCTCCCTGCCATGTTCTCACTCAGTATACGTCCCGGGGAGCTTAGGAATGAGGGCTTGGCACGGTGAGGACGTAGGAGCTCCGTGGGCTCCACGGGCCCAGTGATGCACACGCAGGGGGAGACACGGCTTCATTTCCCACAGTTCTTTCACACAAAGCATGATTATAGGGAAACGCTTCCATATGGCCCATGGAAAATCCCAGCCAAAGCCGGTTTCCGCGGCCCAGCTTCAGAGCCGTAACAGACAAGAAGGGGATGCAAGGAAAAAAGCAAGGGCAAAAAGCCATCTTGGCTCCCTGTGGCCTGAGCCCAGGAGCACACGCGCGGAGGCTGATGAGGCCTGAGGCCTGCGGGACGCTGCGGCTTTGACCAGGCCACTTCTCCCGCTGCATTCAAGGACCTATGCAATCCAGCTGCACTTCCTTTGGAGAAATTCATCCAAAAGAT